TCAAACACTCATGAGATTTTACAATTGGTAGTGACACTTTTCACTCAACCAGCGCTGAAACTATTAACAGTTCAGACAGAAATGTAGTAGAAACATCAGACATTCTCAGATCAGTCTTCTGCACATAATAAATCAGTGACCTGATTTTAAATAAGCTCTGCAGCATCATCCCCTGTGGTCTGAGCCACAACGTCTGCGTTGCAACGCAAGATCAAAACCAGTCAATTGTTTATTTTAGGATCACGTGTAAAATCTGACGTACACAGCAGTGTGTAAAACGTAAAAATCATGACCTCTGTAACGCCAGCTGGCCTCAGGTGACATGATCAGAATGAAGAAGCACCGCAGACAGCCACCACCCAGTCAGAGACAAGGGAACGCGCCGAGGGATCCAAAGATTCACCAAGTATTTCAAGCCACCAAATGCATCAGCAGAGAGAGAGGAAGAAAGAGCATCGATTCTCAAACAGGAGGGAGTCAACTAGAGGAAAGAGAGAGACCAGGAGAGAAAGGGAATAAATGAGTGGGGAGCAGTGACAGAGAGGATGAGAGTGCAGGACACCCAACCGAGATGGGAGGGGGTCAGGAAAGAAACTAGAGATAATGATCCTGAAACCGGACAGATTTTTCCCTTATTGTCTGCATACAGTGAACAACTGTTCCTAATAATAGCTAACAGAGTCCAGGACTACACCATGACCCGGGTCTGACACCTGGGTTTCTGTTCCCATTCCAAAATGTGCCTTTGTGCCTGTCTTACTGTGACAAATGTCTTCCTATAGAACCCTTCTACAAACTGTATTTTTGGAAACAGTTCCTCTCTCATGGTATACCGTGCTCTCAGGACAAACAGTCAGCCAAGAATTTCTTCAATAAAACACAGTTTAAACTAGCACAGCCTGGACTCAAACCAGGAGCTGTCTGACTATGGAGAAGGTCATGATAAAACCTATGGACTCATTTCAGCCAGTACCAGAAAGCACTGAGCATCAACACCCAGCTCTGCTGACTGTGCACCATGGCTCTCACACCACAGACTTACTGACTCCCTGATCAGCAGAACATGAGTCTGCAGCTCCCAAGTGACCAGTTTGCATTGAAAAGTCTGTTTGAAAAGGAGAAAGACCGTTTCAGATCATTTTAATTTAGCTGATTTCAGTGACAAGTGTAAAACTGGGGAGACACCAATTAATAGATGATACTGTAAACAACCGGTTTAGAGACCCATCCTGTTCCAAACTTTACAAATCTCACTAAAGAGCTGTTATTAGGACAGCTGACATCCACAGCTGTGTACAAACATCTAGGGGTCATTTTGTTGATTTCTGTCTGCCCAAATCTATTTCCCTTGGTTTTTGTTTTGTGTGGACCTGCACCAGGGAGACCAACTCTGGTTGAAGCCCTGAGTGGGAACAAGAGCCTGGAGAAATTTGGGATTAGCCAGAAACGGGAAAACAAAGTCAAACGTCTTGTGCAACAGCAGAGGTAGTCTACTGAGAATGGCCTTCAGCAGCACATTACATCAGGATCCACCGAGCGAGAGAAGCTACAGCAAGGCTCCTCTTTGCTCATGTCTGTGAAGTTTCACTGTGTTCAGGCTTCATTGTCAGTTCTCTGCTGAACAGATTCTTCATCAGCCAGAAAGCGAATTATCAGAGGACACGGAAAGAAATGAAGTCCAGCAGAGTGGAAACATCGGAGAGTGAGACAGATGGAGGGACTGACTGGACCCGGGCCAGACTGGAATGAACGCTGAGATCAGCAGGTTCCCTCCAGACTGAGCCACAGCAGCTTCTATTCTGTTGCTGTCAGTGGGGCACCGCAGACAAGACCGAAGCAATAGAAGTGAATGACAACCCCTGCAGTACACCGTGACCACAGGGCCCAAGCATAGAACCCTACGAGACAGAACACAGCAGCAAAGCACAGACCCTGTGTGGGGTCCCTCACACAACAGGCGGTGGTCTGTCAGTCCGGTATGTTAACATTACGTGTTTATTTATTCATGTACTGCAGGACGGCGCACATTAATGACACTGATGTTTAGTGACATCAAGTGCAGGGTTAGCACAGCAGCTAATCTGCAACAGTCTCACTGATCTGCCTCATCACAGGACCAGTGCACTCGTATCCACAGATATTCTTAGTGTCGCCGATAAGCCTAACCTGCATGTCTGTGGACAGAACTGAACCACTCCACCCAAACTGGAGGACGAAAACACCTCAAGCTACAACCAGAGACTGGAAGAACTTAGACACTTAGCTGACTCTGATGTCTGCACAGCTGGTTCAGTGGACGTGGACCAACACACGACTAGACGTCCGCTGCTGAACAACTGTGACAACCAACTCAGAGACAGGTGCGGTGTCTCTGACATTACTGTCGGAGTTTCCAACCTTCCTGTGACAGTGCACAGCAGACAGGGTGGTTGTCCCTGGTCCCCGGCCGCTGGGCCTCCACAGCCAGCTGCTGGTTGATAGGAGGTAGCATTAACTGGTGGCAGCTGCTCAAACATGAGGCTTCACCATGTTTCCCTGTTTTAAATCACAGTGGATCAGAGGATCTGCACCTGTTGCTCTGTCAAAATACCACTTTTCCTATATAATAATTAAAAAGCTACTGACGAAAACCACCATCAGCTGCTGCCCCGACTACATCTCTGCTACTGTACATCAACAAGCAGCAGCTCCTGCCCAGATACCCAGACTCCATGAACACTGATACCCAGTAGTTTTCATTACTCATTCATCTGCAGATTATCCATCTGGCTGATCCATTAAACCCTATGGGCTAATAACGTCTCAGAGTTGGAGTCCTCAAACTACTGGTCTGGTTTGACCTCGAATCCAGAACCCACCGACATTCACTTTATTGTAAAACGAGGTCAAGTATCACGTCCTCATAAATGACAAGCTGGAACCGTTTCTGCTACAAAAATGCCTGAAGTGATCGATTATCAAAGTAGCTGCTGATTAACTGCCGATCCGCTAAACAATTTGTATCAGCTACAACAAGGTTATTCATTTGTTTGGTTTAAACGTATTATAACAATGTTTTTATGTTCTCACGTCGACTTTGTGGATAATAACGCGTTACTTAACACAAAGCCATCACTAACCTGACGTGAACTGCAGCGAGGTCATTTAATAACACGGTGTCACCGATAGTGATGACGGGTCCATTCTGACGTCTCAAAACGGGCTTGTCTGGGTTTTATTCGCCATCTCCCTCGGCGGTAGTTTATTCTACAGAGCCCAAAGTCACGGTCCCTGACGGACACGGCCCCTGTTTGGCACCAGCGCACCGTGGTCTGCTGGCAGACGGAGCCTCGATCAAGAAAACATCAATGTTCAGTCACAGTCACGAAGCTTCACGGGATGTTTTTGTCCCTTTCTGTCCGGTAATGTGAGTCGGAGCTCGCGTGTGTAACGTTATGTATATGTTAATATAAATTAACGTGTTAAAACAACACGTTAACGGATTTGTGCTACGTTTTTCTACACGATCGGACTCAAACCCACCTGCCGGGTCCACGGAGCATCAGACGACAAAATGCGGAATTGTCGAAGTGGAGACGGGCAGAGGAAAGCAGCTGGACGTCAGTCGAGATGTGTTTTGGTTAGATCCGACAGGAAAGAGTCTGATGAGAGACTCCAGATGCCTCCAGTCCTGATAAATGCTGATCCATGCAGCGGTGTTCAGCTCCGAGACTCCGGCCTGTACCAACTAAACACTACGGAGCACTACGGGGTCTCCGAAGGATATATATCACCTGCACGGGTTTACCTGTATCCTCCTCGTGCCCTCTACGGAGTAAATGTCAAAATAAAAGCCGTTCATCCGCGTGAAATCTCTTTGAGTTTGTTGCACATGTGCAGCAGAGGACGAGCCGCTGAGACTGACTGCTGAATCATCGACGCACACGCATCTGACACTGACGTCATCTGCGGCTGTAAACATAACCCTTTCATGACCACACGAACACGTGAATCCTAGGACAAATATAAAATCATATAAACTGATGGAAATGTTAAAGCTTCTTTAACCGTTTAAATTTGAACTAAAACTAATATGTGGGACAGTGAATAAAACACACAGAGGTAGGCCTAAAACCAAGTCTAACCTAAAGGTGTTTTAAAAATTGTAATAACTTTTATTGGCCAAGTATGTTCCACACACACACAAGGGTGCGGCCGTCTGCGGACACACTAACGGAAGACGGTGTCTAGGTGACCGGAGTCAAATGTACTCTAAAGGGTTTTAAAACGTGCAAATGCAGGGTGTAAGAAAAAGGGGTGGACAAAGTGTTGAGATCCGTCAGGCTACGATGTTAAAATAATCAGTTACAAGTTCAAGTCTTATCAAAGTTTGGGCTTTACAGTCGGGGCTGGGATTCCAGGTTCCTACAGGAGGGAAACGAGACTACAGAAGCAACAGAGTATTTTAGAGGAAGGCAGAAATAAATAAAACACCTAATTTTCTGGGGATGCTGCAGGGAAACAAAACTAGTTTGGCGTTAAACCTTTTTATTGAGTCATTAAAAGATATACAGTGAACAAGGGAATGACAAAAACAAAGAGGGAAATGATACGTAGTCCTGTAGATGAGTAATAACCGGGTGTATGACCAACCGCAGGAGGTGAGGAGATGGAGAGCTGGGCCGAGCTGCGTAGATGGGGTCACTCCTGGGCTGGTCGACGGTGATGGTGGTTACTGAAGGTAGGGACAGAGAGATGAAGGCAATAGTGGAAAAAGATAGGCGACTGTGCATTGACCTGCCTGGGAGGAGAGAGTGGAGCCACGGTCTGGAGGAACAGTCCTTCGGGGAAACACAAAACAGTAGCTGGCTAGGGGATAAATACATACAAAAACAATGACAACGCACGGAGCAAGGTTGGCCTAGAGACTAGAAAGAACTGGCAAGTGACTGAGGAGTGAAACCGGGTAATATAGTGAGTGACCTAATCAAGTGCAGCTGGTGATAAGGGAGTGAGGAACAGGCGATACGTGATAAGAGTAATGGGGCAAGAGACAGTAGGAAAGGTGAGGGAGGCAGAGCGGCCGAGCAAACATGACAGGATATTTGCCCCTGTGGGGAGCTGCTGCAGTGCTGGACCAGCTGAGCTCAGTATACCTTGTTTTTATTCCAAATCACAGGAGAAGACATAATACCTTATATGATATGCAGTGTGGCTGTGACTGGGCTCAGGCCTTGTCTCTTCTCTTCTGTTTTTGAAACATGGAAAGAGTTGTAACAATGGATGATTAGATGTGGAAAGACAGGACAAAGTAAACAATGTAATATAATCACACTAGGCCAGTGTTTGTGTGTGGTGTTTGTTCCTAATGTGTTTTGTTGCTGCTCTCGATTGCTGCTGGGACACAGGGATTTCCCCATTGCGGGATCAATAAAGTCCTACCTACCTACCTACCTACTTACCTACCTAGGTCAGTGTTTGTGCTGCTGTCGGTGTGATGTGAGTCTTTGTCCACCAGAGGGCAGAGTTCATCTTCAGTCACTGTGTTGCTAGTAGCACTGATTTCTTACTTCTTCTTTTAAATTTGTATTCTATTGTTTTTATACTGTATATTATTTATTTGAAACGGTTGAGAACTGGCTTCACAGAGACACGAGTTCTCTGTCTTATATTAATTTTATTTTCTGTCGCACCCTGTTACTATTCCACATAAAGTTGCATTTGAAAGTAACGTCCACACCTGTATATCCCCAGTGTTTGGTCTGTAAATGAATGAACGTAATGGTCTAAACGTGAAGCCGGTTATTAAAGACAGGAGAGTGTACACAGACGTTAGGCTGAGGGTCTCCATCTGCAGCCTCAGTCACTGACGGCAGAGGACAACCCGGATAATCTGAGCGCGTCTCCTGCAGGAATACCTCACTGCTGGCTTTTATTCCTTTTTGTGTGCGCGCTGGAAACACAGGCAGAGAGTTGGGAGCTACTGCAGGTGATGGTGAGGCTGAGAGGTTGAGACGGATATGGCACCGAAGGAGTGACTAAGGACATCCATGGAGAGCCTAAACCAGCAGGACCAGCATCAGGTGGTCACGGCGGGAGCGGACGGCGGCCCTGGTGGAGATGTCAGCCTCCGCGCGCTGACCGGCTGCGTCCTGTGCGTCCTGATCATCTCCACCCTGCTAGGTAACACTCTGGTGTGCGCTGCAGTCATCAAATTCCGTCACCTGCGCTCCAAAGTCACCAACTCCTTCGTCATCTCGCTGGCGGTGTCCGACCTGTTCGTGGCCATGCTGGTGATGCCCTGGAGGGCCGTGTCAGAGGTCGCGGGAATCTGGCTCTTCGGCCGCTTCTGCGACACCTGGGTGGCCTTCGACATTATGTGCTCCACCGCGTCCATCCTCAACCTGTGCATCATCAGCATGGACCGCTACTGGGCTATCTCCAGCCCGTTCAAGTACGAGCGCAAAATGACGCGCAGGTTCGCCTTCCTGATGATCGGTGTCGCCTGGACTCTCTCCATCCTCATCTCCTTCATCCCTGTGCAGCTCAACTGGCACCGCGCGAACGCGGAAAACTCAACAGTGGACAACCCGGACGACTGCAACGCCAGCCTGAACCGGACTTATGCCATCTCTTCGTCCCTCATAAGCTTCTACATCCCCGTGGTGATCATGGTGGGGACTTACACGCGCATTTTCCGCATCGCGCAAACCCAAATCAGACGGATCTCGTCTTTGGAGAGGGCTGCGGGCCCCCGTGCACAAAACCACCGCGCGTCAGCGCACGACGAAAACTCGCTGAAAACATCTTTTAAGAGAGAAACAAAGGTTCTAAAGACTCTGTCCATCATCATGGGAGTGTTTGTGTTCTGCTGGCTGCCGTTTTTCGTTCTAAACTGCGTGGTGCCTTTCTGCGACCTGGACAAAGTTGGAGAGCCGCCGTGCGTCAGCGACACCACCTTCAGCATCTTTGTATGGTTCGGCTGGGCCAACTCGTCTCTGAACCCGGTCATTTACGCCTTCAACGCAGACTTCAGGAAGGCCTTCTCCACCATCCTGGGCTGTAACAAGTACTGCTCTACCTCCACGGTGGAGACGGTGGACTTCAGCAACGAGCTGGTGTCTTATCACCACGACACCACCATGCAGAAGGAAACCTGCGCCATGCCGGGCCCCGGGGCGCAGAGACTCACCACCTGCATGTCCCCTGCCTCTCACACAGGAGGAGGTGAGGAGCAGAATTTTGACAAGGTTTCTGTCATTTCAGATGAATCCCAGAACCACAGTAACTCACTGCTACCGACCATCCTGCAGTATGAGTGCGAGGCGGAGATTTCTTTAGACATGATGCCCTTCAACTCGTCCGGACCCACTGACAGTTACATTATTCCTGGTCAAATCCAGGACCCGTGAGCACCCTGGGCCCCTGAAAGAATAAATACCCATAGTTTCACTCAGGCTGCAGCGCTCGAGCCCCTTATTCTTCCACACCAAGCACCAGGGAGTAGTGGTGCCCTTTGAGCTCCTGCCGATGATATCATTACTGTACCGATGCCACAGTGAACCATCCTATTTGGACTGTAACCCCTCATGGTAAAACAGTGGACTAAGTGCAGACAGGAGCATTTCAACCAAATACTCTGATTGTTCCTGAAGGACTTTAGGAGAGCTAATGAATTAAAAAGCTATTTTACAACAAATAAGCACAACTTTCAGAAGACACAAAAACTGGACATGATTTCAGGTCACAGGAAGGTTTGTACCGTCTGCATTCCCTCTCCTCGTCTTCTGACTGTTGGACTTTATGCTGGGGTCTCTCCTGGAGTCTACAGCCTTTTGCTTGAGAGTGGACTGTCAACACTGACCTGTAGTTGGTCTACAGACAATACAGTCCCTTTCTCAGAGAAGTTGATGGTTTTGTTTTCTTGTTGTGATTCTTATTATTCTTATTGTGTCAGCTCAGTAAAGTACTAATACTGCTCTTAGTGCTAGTATGTTTTACCCTTCAACACATCTGTCTGATGAAGTCCAGGCTCAGAATGTTTAATCTGCAGGAAGGTCTGAACTAAAGGCCAGATCTGTTTCAATCAACTCTTTTATTCCTTTCAAAACCAAAATGAGTGTCAAACACCCGCAGCAGCTTTTCTGTCTCCTCCCTCACTGTTATTGGAACAAGTGCACAGTGTCATTTATTAGGTCTTAGCTCACATGTGACTAAACCTCCAGCTGCACAAAGTGTATGCTCCAGTAAAAAACAGATATTTAGACAAATGCTCAGTGATAATAATAATTATAATAAGGTCTAGACCTTACTGTGTAAAGTGTCCTGAGATGACTTTTGTTGTGATTTGGAGCTATACAAATAAAATTGAATTGGATCTAATTGATTGACATCAATCAATACTGTGATGGGACAATTTGACCCACACTACTTGATAGAACTCGTAGTCAAGAATTAATTTTAGCTGAAGTGAAACACAGGGAGCCAGCGTTCATGCAGCTGATTCTGACTCTGTCTCACACACTGGTCACCGTCCTGCTGACACTCAGAGACCTGATGTGAAGGAAGTGGAGGACATGAAGCCCTTTGGGTCCAAATGTTACAGTTCACTCTCCCTCAGAGTCCTAACACAGTCAAATTCCACACGTCGACATGAAACATTCTGAGATTCAGTCTGGTGATTTCACTGTCTGTTGTAAATAAACAGCCCTAAATAAAGTCATTAAAACTAGTTTCTTATAACTGCAGAACTTGCCTGAGACTCCTCCTGTTTTCACGTGTCTTACCTTGCCTCACAGTGACAACTGTTTGTGCGTCCAGATGTCTGCATTTTAACTGGGGAGCCCAGAATATGAAAACTCCTGTAACTTTAACTTTAATGTTTAAAAACACAGAGAAGCTGTACATAGACTATGGTTTTGTTTGGTGTAATACAAAACTGGACACAGCAAATGATTTATTCATTAACTTTACACAAATGTGCTATAAAGAGACATATATCAATGTTACAGGAATATTCTTACTAATACCTTGATCCCACTTTCAACTACATTGCCCAACTCTGTTAATTCACACATTTCATGTCAAAATAAAAGCCCCGACCCGTACCATCTGCCCACAGACTAAGAACTCTCAGTAAAATCCAGCCATGTGTGTAACTGGAGTAGTGATCGAGTGACAATTTGAGCCACAGCTCTTTGATGCGAGTGTCCAGGTTCATCCAGTCTTTGTCCTGCAGCTCTCACTGAACCTCCCTTTGGTATGATAACATGGCCGATAGGATGAGAAGGGGTCATTAATAACAATTACATCATTAGTTTCAGTGTGTAATTGCCCCTTCAGGTGAATGCTGCATGTTCATCTCCTGTGGAGTCTGTGGAGCCTCAAAGCCAAACAACACATTAAGCTGAGATCAGACAGAGTTTCGAGTGTTTTCTGTCTGTTCAGAATATGTTTGGAACCAGAAAAGGAGGAAGGACAGAGGGGAGCTACGCTCAGGCTGCACCGGTTCAACTGTGCCTTCATGGGACAAGCAGGATTCAAGTAGTGACTTTATAGATGTATACATCAGAGCTCGTTTTGCTGAGAGCAGCACTGAGATGTATTTGCTGGTGCAAATATTTATCAATCTCCTCCTGGTTTGTTCTGGGTGTTTACATATAGTAACCAAGATCCCATGTGAGAAGTAAACAGGTAACAACAGAAACTCAGAGTTTACTGTAAAGTGTTTCTAACATGGGTCTGTCATCCAGTTAAGTAGAGTGAGGGAGATGTCCGATGACCTCGATGTTATTAAATCACATACAGGTTCACACACTGACATGAAGATTTACACAGACCAGTGCTCACCAGGGATTTTCGGTCCGAATTGAGCACAGCACGTGTTTCCCTCTGACAGGAACACTGCTACCTCTCGCTGTTTGAAGCTTGTGTTGCAGAAGCAGCAGTGGGGTCAAAGGTCAGGGAACAAACCAGACAACAAACACAATGCACTACACTTTCATCTCCAGAAGAAGAGGAGTGCAATTGTGCCGGTGAAGTCACTTCAGCTCAGTCCCACCGCTTCGACTGTCAGATGAACATTGTATTTATCATCAACTCGGCCTCATGTAGAGCTATAAGAAGAGATTGGAAAGAAGAGGTACAAGATAAAGATGCTAAAAACAGAAGTGACATAATAACAATGCTTAATGCAAGTTTCCTGTATGACACAGTCCAGGTGAACAGCAGCACAAACAGGGATCACACAGGTGAACCAGCAGCTCTGGGACACAGTCTGAACACAAACTGGACTTTGGTTTGAACTTCGGTTGGGCCGTGCTGTATGTGAGAGCATAACTCTGTGCTGAAAGAGGCTGCTGGGCCAGATGTAGAGCTGCAGACGAGGCCTAATACAAAGGCCAAACCACAAGTCTTTCACCGAGAGGAGAAACGCTTTGGCACAGCACCAGGTCAGTTAAAAATCTGACTTCAAGGAGTTTGACAAAAATACTAGAAACTTTTTTAAACTTGCTGCCACATTGTTAAAAGTTCTGCCAATGAGAAATCTGTTATTATTTATTTAAATTTCCTGCTCTTTGCTAGTGTCTCAGTTTAGTGTTTTTCTTATAGGAAACAGTGAATTGATTCTGAATCAAGTCTTTCCATTGTAGCAGCAGATTTTTCTGGAGCAGGAGACAGGCGTGAGGAGGGAGTGCTCAATTTAAACCCCCAGATATCTCGAAGAAGACCGGCTGCCGAGCCTAATCTAAAACCAGACAGGTCTCAAATCAGCCTGAGCCATGTCTCTGTGGTGAATGAACAATTCCCATCCAGAAAGAAGGTGACTAAAGGTTTGCTTTTACCAGTGTGTAAAAATGACATTCTGCCGTTAGGCTTAGGTGTTAGGCTCCAGGTGGAGCAGGTTATGCGCCTGTCAGCTTCTCAGCAGGTAACACACAATGTATAAAATGTTATTTAGCAAAGTAAGGAGCCCCTGGTGGACGGGTGTTGTTGCTGAGCACACTGTTGCTTCATGCTCACCACACAGAGAGTGCGATTGATGTGAACATTGAACTCTAAACAGCACAGCAAATAAACACATCTCCCAAAAAAACCAAGTCGGTCTTAATGGGGGAGAGCAGATACTGCGAGACACAGGGTCACCGCCATGTCCTGTTATACATCTCTGACCTGCTGGGTGACCAGCTAACCACATTTCCTCCGAATCGCTTTCTGAGACAGCTGCTCATTAGCACGACTGACAGGTGCAAAGGACAGAGCATGTGGCTATATGACATGTCTCGGTGTCCCTGGTTCCTTCTCATCTCTCCACTCCTCTCCAGATATCAGCTTTAAAGCTGACCAGCACATGTAATTTCACTGCTGATTACTGGAGTGGAACTCCATTCATGATGGATTGTGAAGTGTCACTTCTACACAGCTACCGGTTTATGTCCAATTGTCTGAGCAGAGCTGCACTCACCACTTCACCAGTGACTCTCTGTCATCCTGCTATGAGACTGTATGTAGGAGGCCACTCTGTCCTTCAAAGTTAAACTAAGGCTGTACAACAGGAGCCAAAGTTCGAGCTGAAGCTCCAGACTGGCTGTTGACAGAATTCACGGCACAGTGTTTCCATCATTAACAGATAAAAACGCTTCAGAAATTACCAGTAAATGTTGTCCCCTTTCTTCAGCCTCTGTTGAGCTACTGACAATACAACTTCACAATTCCTGTGAATCTTTCACAATAAAAGTCTGCCAGGTAAGAGAGATCGCTCTCAGCTGCTGGAAGACATTTACTGTACAGTTTTCTCTGCTTAACACATTTGTCCAAACAGCAAAAAAACTGAAATGTAACTATCATCACTGTGATCAAGATGGTGTCTAAAGGAACTGGATCCGTATGACAGAAGAGATTTAATTCATGTTTTACAAGCAATTTCCTGATCTTCCTAACAAAACCCAGCAGCAAAGTCAAATATCATATAAACACCAGTTTTGCACAAAAACTACTAGTAATAATAAGATTTCATGACGTTAATTGTGTGTTAGAAGCCACAGTGGTTGACTCATCACGTGTACAGCTGTCAGATGCTGCAGGGCAAACTTTTCCTGCAGTGTGAAGCCGCTGTGGAGAACAGAGCAATTTAATGAAGCTGCTGCTTTAACCAAAAAAATCAGCAATTTCTGATGCATATTAAAACACAATCTACTTAATTACAAATGTTCATTGATGTTCCATAATTGTTGTGCATTTATCAGTTTGTTCTTGTTGACAAAAATCACCAAAGTGGCAGTGGAGCAACGTTGTGCCAGAAATGGAAGCCTACTCTAGAAGAAGCATCTAAGAAACCACTTTCAGCAAAATACGAAACAACGCTCTTTGTGCTGCCTCATTTAAATAAACCTCCTACGTGTGTGTTCCTTTAGTCACAGCCATGCACCATGTGCAAAGACCAGCACAATAACAAAAGATAGAGCCCAAAACTAAGAGCGCGAAGGAAAGGACGAGCTAAGAGGTGGAGAGAGCGAGGGATGACTAGACGACGAATCTCTTCAGTGTGTTTTAATCAACTGATCTGACTGGACAAGAGGCCTGGAGAGTCTCACACACACACACCATCACTCCTCATCAGCGGTGAGTGTGTCCACTCTCTGTCTCTTCAGTCATCAGCCAGAGGACACCATGGCTGTAAGTGGGTGTGTGGAAATGAATCGCTGCAAAGTCAGTCAGAGAAAACTCTCCTGAAGCAGTGAAGAAGTTTCAGCCACGACTGGACGTCTTACAGTGAATCTGGTGGAATGAGACCACACTGAGCTCTGGTCTCTGCACTTTGAGCAAAATTAAGAAAAATGTCAGTCTGGTTTGAAACTCAGGCTGGGGGTCATGAGATCTGGATCCTGAACTACACCGTCAGGTTCAACAGGAAAATCTGTCTAATTTTTTCTGTTTTCATTCTTAAGCTGTTTATATATAAGCTTTCATTTTCCTGCTCCTGTCCCTGCTCCTGCTAATCCCCCTCCCCCTCCCCCTCCTCTTGCTCCTCCTCTCTCTGCTCCTCTTCCTCCCCCTCCCGACTTAATGTTTTGATCCACAATGATGTCGCTCTGCTCCCTCTCTGATGTGAATCTCCTTCTGTTTTGTGTTTTTGGCAGAAAAGCTAAGAAACTAAATCAGAACATGGACAGGAGTCACTGCCACCCAGGCTGCACATTCCTCAAGTGTGTGCATTTAAATTGAGTATAAGTGTCTGTAAGGAGACCGTGGGCAAAGATGCCAGGTTGGTCCACATTGAAATCTCTTAGCAGCTACTGGTTGGGTTGTGATGACACTTGTTTCAGAGGCTCCCCTCAGGATGAACCCTGCTGACCTTGTATCTGCCTCGACCCATAGGTCAGTGTCCAGTTGTCTAACATCAACACGGGATGCGCCTGCAGCTACTGAGCAGGTTTCTAAACTCACCGTTTGTCTTTAAGTAGGAAACCTAAATAATCTGTGTTTGTTTAAGTTAGAGTTAAATCTTAACCTTATAACACCAGGAAACTACTTCAAGAACCTTTAAAACCAGCAAAAACTGATTTCATGTCAGTGCTGTGTACCTGTTTCTGTTGAAGAGATGTGGCCAAAGTGCAGAATTAAAAAACTGAAATGGTTGCCACATTTTCTTGATTCTGGGTTTTCATTGTTTATTAGCACATATCTGGGGGAACTCTTGTGTGTGTGTGTGTGTGTGTGTGTGTGTGTGTGTGTGTGAGTGAGAACAGCAGAGCTCTCAGCTGATGACGCTCCTCATCTTGTTTCATGGTTATGTTCCTTTGCGGGAATCAAAACAAGAGCAGGCGGTTGTCTCAGTGTTGTTTTTCCTGCATGTCTGAGGATATTTGCGTAAAGTCAACCTTTTAACCTAGCTTTATGGCTTGTGGTTGGGACAGCTTTACTGCTCTGGTTCCCTGTCATTGCTCTCATGGTTCTGGGCCACAGCAGGAAGCAGCTGTTTGCAGAGGAGACTCCAAAAAGCCACTATCCACGACCTGCTCAGCAGCAAACAGATATGACAAGCCATCGAGCTCAGTGGGCGTTCCTGTTGACACTTTCCAGTCAGGTTAACATCTTACAGCGCTCTCTCTCTTTTCCTATCAGTACTTGTGCCTACCTCTGCATAACCATGGAAGCATGTCTACAGGGGTGAGTACAGAATCTATGTGACCATAGTGTATATTCATCAGACCCTACTTTATACAGTAAGTAGCCATGATGTAGACACACTTAGGACCACATGTCAAAAGGGGTTGACTCGTATTTTCAGCCAGTGGCACTGAAGCTCCCCCAGACGTTAACAAGAACGCTGGCTCCAAAGGAGACGTCTTCTGCAAAGGGACTTGGACAGGACTTGGACAGGTCCAACAACTGCTTCCTGACCTGCACCGAGGAGACCGACAGCTCACTATGCTTCCATCACGCTCAGGACATGATCCTGGAGGTGATCTACACGAACCCGGTGGATCTGTGCTTGGGAACCATATCACAGATGAGCAGACACCAGCTCATGAGCCTGTCCACAGTCAATGCCAAGAAAGACTCCAGCTGTAATATCTGGAACATCAGCGTGGGACGTTAGAGCCGTCTTTAGCCTGGATAAACAGCTAACCTGCTAACCTGCAATTCTGGTGTATCCAGGCACCTGAATTGGTGCCTGGACAATGGAATGACCGGCTAACAGGAAATTTGTTTTTAAGGAGTAATTTTACACTAAATAACTCTTTAAATTGATATAATCAACTTATTATACCATCAGTAGACTGTGGTGTGATACTGTAGGGTCTGGTCAGCCACAATTCATGGAGCCTTAGATACATACTGTATGTAACTGAGAAGAGACCAAGAGCGTGCGCCAGAGCTGAAGGGAAACCAGGAATTCATGCAAAAATAATCACGTTTAAAAATCCTCAGTGTTTTATGTCTACATCACATGTTTACATCAGTGATTCCCAAAGTCAGTGTCAACAGGGCAGGACTGTGCTGCAAGGTTTATTTTCAGTTTTTTAAAAATAATTCATTGTCATTCAACATAACAAACACCTGCATAAAAAACAAACTATATTTGTTGTTAACCACTATCATGTAAACAAGTACAACTGTCTCCTTATTCTGATGTGAATAAAGTTTAAAGTTAGAAGTGGAGAAACACTAAGTCAAGAAGTTACTGATAAATGCGTGTAGGTGTCGGAGACATTTCAAATCACTGAAGGAGTAACTGACGTATTATTTTTAACATTTTAGCAAGAATGATCCTTTTCTAACAGCAAAGATTTAATACAAGAAATATTTTAATGCTATATTTAACAGGCTATTTGAAAAATGATGACAACAGTTAGTTTTCTTGTGCTGGTGGACTGTGCTTTCAAAAAATACGGCCTACTGTGAGACTCAGTGATTAATGAGAGAAAAACTCACAGACCACCCCCTGATGTTCTGCTCTGTGTTGGTTCTGCAGATTCACCGCACAGGACGGATCTTCATGCTGATGCCCTTCAGCGAGTATTCATCAGCCTTCCACGGGTGCCAAGCAACTCCAACAGCATAGATGGTGCTGTCAGCACCCCAGCGATAAACCCCGTTGGGGTTTGCACTATGACAGTTGCTGTACCATGACGCCCCCAGGAACGACTTGGCACAGTTTCCAGACCAGGTGTCCCGGTCTTTGTCAAAGGTGGAGAACTTCTGTCCACTGACATGACTCAGAGCGTCTCCTGCAGTAACATGAAGAATGTTGTATCACAAGACACTCATGTTAATGATGCTAATAATATATAATATTTTGTTACTATTCAACGCCACAGCTAACTGTGGTAGTACAGTATTGTTCAAAATAATAGCAGTACAATGTGACTAACCAGAATAATCCAGGTTTTTAGTATATTTTTTATTGCTACATGGCAAACAAGTTACCAGTAGGTGCAGTAGATTCTCAGAAAGCAAACAAGACCCAGCATTCATGATATGCACACTCTTAAGGCTGTGCAATTGGGCAATTAGTTGAAAGTGGTGTGTTCAAAAAAATAGCAGTGTCTGCCGTTGACTGTACAAACGTTCAGCTAAAATGATCTCCAATGCCTTAAAATGGAGAGCAAAACCAGAGAGACGTGGAAGAAAACGGAAGACAACCATCAAAATGGATCGAAGAATAACCAGAATGGCAAAGGCCCAGCCAATGATCAGCTCCAGGATGATCAAAGACAGTCTGGAGTTACCTGTAAGTACTGTGACAGTTAGAAGACGTCTGTGTGAAGCTAATCTATTTTCAAGAATCCCCCGCAAAGTCCCTCTGTTAAAAAAAAGGCACGTGCAGAAGAGGTTACAATTTGCCAAAGAACACATCAACTGGCCTAAAGAGAAATGGAGGAACATTTTGTGGACTGATGAGAGTAAAATTGTTCTTTTTGGGTCCAAGGGCCACAGACAGTTTGTGAGACGACCCCCAAACTCTGAATTCAAGCCACAGTACACAGTGAAGACAGTGAAGCATGGTGGTGCAAGCATCATGATATGGGCATGTTTCTCCTACTATGGTGTTGGGCCTATTTATCGCATACCAGGGATCATGGATCAGTTTGCATATGTCAAAATACTTGAAGAGGTCATGTTGCCTTATGCTGAAGAGGACATGCCCTTGAAATGGTTGTTTCAACAAGACAATGACCCCAAACACACTAGTAAACGAGCAAAGTCTTGGTTCCAAACCAACAAAATTAATGTTATGGAGTGGCCAGCCCAATCCCCGGACCTTAATCCAATCGAGAACTTGTGGGGTGATATCAAAAATGCTGTTTCTGAAGCAAAACCAAGACATGTAAATGAATTGTGGAATGTTGTTAAAGAATCATGGAGTGTAATAACAGCTGAAAGGTGCCACAAGTTGGTTGACTCCATGCCACACAGATGTGAAGCAGTTATAACAAACTGTGGTCATACAACTAAATATTAGTTTAGTGATTCACAGGATTGCTAAATCCTAGAAACAAAAACGTTTGTACAACATAGTTTTGTGTTTGTACAGTCAACGGCAGACACTGCTATTTTTTTGAACACACCCCTTTCAACTAATTGCCCAATTTCACAGCCTTAAGAGCGTGCATATCATGAATGCTGGGTCTTGTTTGCTTTCTGAGAATCTACTGCACCTACTGGTAACTTGTTTGCCATGTAGCAATAAAAAATATACTAAAAACCTGGATTATTCTGGTTAGTCACATTGTACTGCTATTATTTTGAACAATACTGTATGTCACAATACACCTACACACAAACACATTCATTACAACACCGTCAGTGTTGCTGATGCCAAAACTACTTCTGTTGTATCAGAAGCCCGAACTGTTCTGACTGTGTTTTTCTCTTCACATGGTCTCATCTTAGATCTGACATCTTAGGGTCATCTTAAAGTCCCAGACAGGTGAGGTGTACCTGGGTAGCAGACGTGGCTCCAATGGGATAGATGATGTAAACTCCACTGGGTCGGCTGGCGACCTGATCATAGATGTCACTACAGTCCAATGGGTAGAAGAGGGTGGTGCAGTGGGTCATCAGTGGACCCAGGAGGAGGAGGAAGACTGTTACCAGCTGCAACAAAGGAGATGTGAGTAAGATTTCACAGTTATTACTGTGAATATGTTTTGGGCACTTAGACGTTTAAATTATTCTCTGTTACACAGCCCAATCTTGGAGGTTTCTGACTGGTCCAGATCAACTGTGCAGCATAACAATGAGACAACATGCACATACAGACAGAAAGATACACAAAACGACTACAAAACATCAATACTGTTTGTAGTCCCTTGTGTTTTCTGACTTATCTGCAATGTTACCACAATGAATTATCACCCTAAATGTGACCTAAAGCTCAAAAATGAGGTGTACCTATGTTCTAGTACTTCTATGCAGAAGCAACTTGGTTTATACACGTCTCCAGATGCAGCGACCACCAGTTGTATTTACTAACCTTGGAGCTACTTGAAAGGGAGTGATGTTTCCATGGTAAGTTTAAAAAAAAACAAACACACGTCTGTTAATGCCTTGTTTCTGTAACGTTAAAGAGAATTGTTGTAAGGCTGGAGAAGTTACTATGTCTGCATTATGCCAGTTAAAATATAGGGTTTCTCATCTACCCACTTTGTTTAGAGTGTTACACATCTCTTTTCATTGGTACATATATTGTTGTTTCCCTGTCCATCTTCTTGTTTTCAGGAAGAGGCTCTCTGGTTTTATTGTTCTGAAATAATCAAACTATTTGGAGTTATGATGGGTGCAAAGCTAATCTAGAGGTACCCAAGATTAAACATTGAATGGCTGGAAATGAGCAGGCCATGGGCACTTTAAGCAAAACACAAAGGTCATTAATAACAAGAGACTTTGAACAAACAGTGCAGTACTGCTTATCTGTGGAATCTATCATTTACTAGAAATTAGCCATTTAATTGGATTACTTCCTGGTCTAATCTCAGCCTGAAGTGGTACAGAGTTACGATTTAGATAAGCCATATAACTGACTGGAAAACAACTAAAACAATACATAAAAAGAGAAAAGATATTTCAACAGAACAGTGAACATACATTACAGCATAAATCTGTGTATGAACTACAAATACAGATATAAGAACATTAGTTTAAGTTAACACGAGGGTCGAGTGTGGGCCACCAGTACAGTGGGAGGACTTTTTTGGAACCGGCATCAGGAATCAAAGAAAATTCAGGAGGTGGGTCTTAAACATTGAGTGTTAAGAACTACTGACAGATAAAAGAGCAAAATGAATAACAAGATTATCAGAAAACCTTCAACCCAATAATGTACCAACAATACTCATACAGTTCCAAACATACTATACCTTCATTGTCAATTCTCTTTCATATTGAGTGTATTTTTGTTCACTGCACAGTTCACATGTTTTTCTCTTATATTGTGTAATTACAGCCTCCCTCAGACCAGCTGTTCCTTCAAAGTCATCTAAGGAGCCTTTAGATGAAGACCTGGTCCAGGCCGTAGTAGAAATGGAGGAGTGTGAACAGTGGCGGTTCTACGTACATTGAATTACTTCCCGGGCGAGACACCCCTCTGAGCGCCCCTCCAAGGAAAAAAAAAACACAAAATTTTGCACAGTGATGTTTTACTGTAACAATATAAGTGTAAGACTAAACCAATTCACTTTGTATTACCTATTTTTATTAGCAATTTCACACAATTTGGAAAAAAACAAAAACATGCAAATTATAGGTCTGTGTTTATAATATTATGAATGAAATGTGCGTTATTTGGAAGAAAGTCAAGGTGTCACTGACTTAGTTTAGCCTACTACGTGGATCAATGACTTTTCTGGTAGGCTACTTTATTTTTAATTTTTTTTTTTTACCAGCCATGTTACAGGCACTGTTCGGAAAAAGCATTTATTTAATTAATAGTTTAAAAAATCTTTCTGTGTACACCTGCAGCTTATAGACAAGTGCGGCCTATATATGTACAAAAAATGTTTTTATTTTTAAATTTAGTGGGTGCGGCTTATATTCAGGTGCGCTCGGAAATTACGGTAACAGAAAGGCTTAAATGCATTTGCTGCCTCTTCTTTCTATTTTTGAAAGAACGGCTATCCTATTTTCCCCTCACTGTGTACTTTCCCTGGCTTAGGGTCAGGCGTCAGGGATATAGTTGGCTGGCTGGCAGGCCAAATGAAAGGCTTCCACAGACCTTTGGGCCTGATGGGGCCCTGGACGCCCGCCCGGCCTCCCTGCCCAGCACATGCACTCCTAGACCCAGCTAAGATGCCGGCTTCACCGGGCCTGGGGGTCC